TGAACTACTGGAACCACTTGATCGAGTATCTCAGAGCATGCCCCACATCCGGGACTTGGGGTGGGTGGGAAACTGGGTGGGGCTTCTTCCTCTAAATCCCCTTTTACCTCAGATACATGAAGGAAGCGGTATGGAAGTGATGGTCTTGCACACTTCCCTGTAACCCTTGAACCTTTTTTTTTTTTACCCTAATTAAATATGTAAGGATTGTCATAATAAAAAAAAAAATCAATTGGCATGTACAGGAATGCCAATTCACAGCTGAGCTCACACAGGAAACTATCAGCCAGAAGAGAATTGAGCAACATATTCCAAATTATAAAAGCAAAACACTGTTGGCCCAAACTAACGTAGCCAGCAAAGCTTTTCTTTGTCTTTGAAAATGAAATAAAATTCTTCCACAGTAAAGAAAAGTTAAAAGAATATGCCTATTCCCAACCTGCCCTACAAATGATACTTAAAGATGTTCTTTGGACAAAGAAAAAGAAGAGCACCCACCAAACCTAGAGGCAAATGTGAGGAACATCTCAGTAAAGTAACAGCAGAAGAGTAAATCGAATAATGAACAACCCATTGCTAAAACGATAGGACAAACTACCACCTAATCATATTAACTTTGAATGTAAATGACTTAAAAACATCAATCAAAAGTCATAGATAAGTGGACTGTATTAAAAAAACAAAACCCATCTGTTCATTGCCTACCGGAGAAACATCTTACCAACAAAGATCAGTGATAACTATATTTCGTGGATTTTGATGCTTTTGTTTATGGCTTCATTTCTTCAAAACAGTTTTTTTTTTGGGGTCTCATATTTAATTCTTCACTGAATTATAGGTCATACAGTAGCATCATTTTCTTCAAGAAGGTTCTTGATTTCTTTTTCATTGCTTCAGTGACACATTAGACAATCATGAAAAGATATCCCATGACAGTATATTGGAAGAATCAATAATGGTAAACTATGCATACTATCACAAGTTATTTATTGCCATGGAAGTTATTTATTGCCTGTAATGGGCAGGATTTTCCAGATCAAGCCTCAAATCCTCACCTTGCATGTGCTGGGATCCCATATGGGCACCAGTTCATGTCCTGGTGGTCCCACTTCCCATCCAGCTCCCTACTTGTGGCCTGGGAAAGCAGTGGCAGATAGCCCAAAGCCATGAGACACTGCACCTATGAAGGGGGCCCTTAAAAAGCTCCTGGATCCTGTTTTCGGATTGGCTCAGTTCTGACCATTGTGGCCACTTGGGGAGTGAGTCAGTAGGTTGAAGATCTTTCTCTGTCTTCTCCTCTCTGTATATCTGACTTTCCAATAGAATAAGTGAATAAATCTTTAAAAATAAAAAACCTCAAAAGCATAGAAAATGAAAGCAAAAATAGATAAATGGATCTTTACCAAACTAAAGAGCTTCTATGTAGAAAAAATAATCAGATACAGCTTACAAAATAGGGAGAAATATTTACAAGTTGTATATCTGATAGGAAATTAATATGTACAATATGTAAGGAATGAAAATAACTCAATAACAAAAATGCAAATAACCCAACTCAAGAAAGGGCAGGTCTAAACAAACATTTCCCAAAGGAGGCTATACAAATGGTCACAAGTTCATGAAAAAATAACCAACATAACTGATCTCCAGGGAATTTCAAATCAAGAGAATTCAATGTGATACTACCTCTGATAAAACTATTTATTAATAAAACAAATAAAGTTAACTAGTGTTGGTGGGAATATGGAGAAAATAAACACTTGCATGCTATTGATGGGAATGCAAATTAGAACTGTTGCAGCAAACAATATAGAGATTTCTCGGAAGACTAAAACTAAAATAAACATATGATTCAGCCATTCTATTTCCGTTAATAAATCAAAAGCAAATGCAGCCCATTTGTCAAAGAGACATCTATGCTCCCATGGTTATTGCAGTAATATTTATTTAGCAAGAAATGGAAACAACCTAAGTGTGCATCCACTGATGAATGGATAAAGAAAATGTACATTTATATTATATAATGTAAATGTACAATATGGATGGAACTAGAGGTCACTGGTGCCTGTATGGGATCCCGGCATGTGCAAGGCAAAGACTTTAGCCACTAGGCCACAGAGTGGAACCCCAGTCTACTCTTAATATTGCATAGGCTCCCGGGACCTGGCCTGATAAAGTAGCGGTTAGATTCTTGCCTTGAATGCTCCAGGATCTCTCATGGACACCGGTTCTAACCTGGCAGCCCGACGTCCCATCCAGCTCCCTGCTTGTGGTCTAGGAAAGCAGTCGAGGACAGCCCAAAGCTTGGAGACCCTGCATCCACATGGGAGACCTGGAGGAAGCTCCTGGTTCCTAGCTTTAGATTGGCTCAGCTTCATCCATTACAGCTGCTTGGGGAGTGAACCCTCGGATGGAAGATCTTCCTCTCTGTTTCTCCTCCTCTCTGTCGATTTGCCTTTCCAATAAAAATAAATAAGTCTTTTAAAAAATATTTTTGCATAGGCTCCCTTGTGTGTGGGAGTTTAAAAAAAAACTCAATCTAAACATAGAATATTGGTATCCAGAAGCTGGAAGGGATGCAAGGGATAATACAAGTTTGGGTAAGAAAACAGAAGGAGCTGGATGTAGCTTATTAATTATGACAAACATTCTAAGAAGAGATATAGATGGGGCATAGGATGAGTTGTATATGGAAACTTGGTGTTGCTACCTCATAATTTTGGTAAACTTGAAACCATTCAGAGATAAAATATTTTAAATAAAGAAAGAAAAAGAAACAAAAATGAAAAGAAAAGAACTGGCCCTGCTCTCCCTTTTCCGCAGGAGAGCCATGACATACCTGGGGAATGGTTTGCCCACCCACGGTTTGCTTCCTTTCTTTATCTCCTCTTGTCCTTTGACTCTGAGGACAAGCAGCGGTTATGACCCCAGGAGGGACTATCACCTACTGCATTCCCAATTCCAGCTTCCTGCCAGCAACACACTGGGAGGCTTCAGGTGATGACTCAAGTACTTGGGTCCCTGCCACTCACATGGGAGACTTAGATTAAACTCCTGGGAAGTTCTGGCCTATCCCTGGCCAGCACAGGGATTTGGGGAGCAATCTCTCTCTAAATCTATTTCTACTTTTCAAATAAATCAGTAAAACACAGTATTTTCCTTAGTAAATCCCACATCAACTATGCTTACTTGCTCTGATCACATTTTTTCTTTAGCCCCAGGGCTTACTGTAGCCCACACAGGGAGAGCAGCTGAAGACTGGGTTCACCTGAGCAGGGGTTCACGCGGGTCAAGTATGATGCAGAATAACAAAGTCCGGGAAAGTACAAGTGATAACACTGGATTCCCTCATGCTGCTCCTTGATAAGCTGTGTGTGTCATATAATGTCTAGGGCCCTTCGGGAGCACGATTGTTTCTACCCAAACAGTTTACAGTTCAAGGGGAGTTAACTGTTTTGTTGATCCACTTCCACGTTAAAAATCAAAAAATGTCCCCTGTGCTGCACTAGGAGCTATGATTTGCTTTACCATTTCTCAAAGCACTCTGGATAGACAAATAAATTATTAATTCAAGAGGAATGGGCCTGGAATTTCTTAGACTACAAAAAAATAGGGATTCTAACTGAAGGGGTGGAATGGGGAAAGTGATCTTTCTCTACTGATTTTCGGTATATGGGTCTAGGCAACGTTTTGAGTGGTAAACTTCTCAAAAAGGAAGAAGAGCCAGAAGGTGGCGCCCCTCAGGTCTGTGCAGTGCCTAGGCAGTGTGGCCCCTATCTCCCGGATTCCTGCCCTGAGGAAGCCCCACCCAGGCTTGGGTGAACACTGGCCGTGGCTTAGCCTCTGTAAGGATTCAGCTTGGCATGGCTGTATTTCATACCTAACCATGTTCTTGCCTCTCAGGTAATTCTGACAGTCTTCCCAAGACCTAAGAAAGTAAATAGGGTTGTCAAGACAATCTGTCTCTTTTCTCATGCGTATAGTGTCTTCCAAAAAAAAAAAAAAAAATGCCAGTCTTTCTTGAGAAATCCCAAGTCCATTCTAACAAATCGCATGTCTATAAAGTCTTTTTTCTACTGCCACTTAAAACTATGTTTCTTTCCTTTGTTTCTTCTAAAATTTATTTATTTTAGGGACCAGGTGCAGTAGCCTAGGGGCTAAATCCTTGCCCTGCACATGCCAGGATTCCATATGGGTGTCAGTTCATGTCATGGCTGCTCCAATTCCCATCCAGCTCCCTGCTTGTGGGCTGGGAAAGCAGTTGAGGATGGCCCAAAGTCTTGGGACCTAGCACCCACATAGGAAACCTTGAAGAAGCTCCTGGCTCCTGGCTTTGGATAGGCTCAGCTCTGGCCATTGTAGCCACTTGGAGAATTAACCAGCGGGCAGATCTTTCTCTCTGTAAATCTGTAAAAAAATAAATAGATCTTCATAAAAAAAAGATTTCTTGGGGGGAGGGTGGCATCCTCTATTGCTTTCCCAGGTCACAATCAGGTAGCTGGATGAGAAGCAGAGTAGCCAGGACATGAACTGACACCCATATAGGATCCAGTGCTTTGTAAGGGGTGAATTAGCCAGTTGAGTCATTGTACCAGACCCTATGCTTCTGTCTTTAAGTTCCTCCAATAACGTATACTCTATCAAATGTTGGCTTACCCTCTTTCTTCCATCTCACCACACTTTCTGCTACTAATGGTTCTTGTATGCCTGATTATCTCTAAAATAGCTTCTGAAGTAATTGGGGTGATTTCTGCCTGGAAACTACCAATCAGATATTCTCCCACCAGGCCCTTCTCATTTCTGAGTACTGAACTCTCTGATAATCCAATAGGAGCCAGGACCCTGAGAACAAGAATACCAATGCACATTCAAACAAAATGATTTTGCTATTTCTGTAGCACTTTCAGAAGAAAACCCAAGAGACTTCCTGTTTCTGTTCTCCCACACATGCATCGGGTGAAGGGAAACCAGCCAATGTGGGTTTGTCATTTTTGCCTACGTCATAGTCTGCTTCTGTATCCGGCCCCTTTCAAGCCTCACCCTCAGCTGTCTCCAGCGTTCTTTGGAAGCTCTGAAAATTAGCATGTGTTCCAGCAGATGGGAATGGTGTCTGGCTCTGGAACTGCTCCTGTTGCCTTCAGTGCTCCTGGAGATGAATACTCAAGGTACTTTCCGCCAACTGTCTTTCTGTGATTGCACATCAGAGGCATGGTCAGGCAAACAGGGAGATGGGCTGTGGCTCCGCCCTGGAAGTAGGGCCTGGCCTGTGGGCTGCAGGTACTCCTGCCCTGGTAGCAGGGGTGCGATGCGGTTGGGGACCCTTCCTACCCGGGCATTAGAGAATCGGGATCCATCTCTTTTCCCAAGGAGATGCAGCCAAAAATAAGACCCTGAGTGTAACTAGAACTACTCCTCTTGTTTCGTGACTGATGATATCTTTATTGTGGGCAAGTGTTAGCTTAGTATTTATTTTTTGTTTGTTTTAAATAAGACAATGTGTTATGCTAAAACCTGATATTTCATGTTCAGATAATTGTGTTGTCTTAGGCATTGTATGAGATCTCTTTATATGGAGGAATCAGATCCTGAATCGGGGCAAATGTTGTTGTCACTGTCCCACAGAGTCCAAACTGTAGGAAAGACATCTTGGGAAGTACTATTGTCTAATGTCTCCACGTGAGGATTTGAGACAGGCATGAGGTGCCTCTGTGGCGAAGGATCCAATGCACGATTGTTAACAAGTAAGGGCCGTGCCAGTCTCTCATGTGCCTAAGGAGCACACTGCTTAGTTTTTGAGTCCCTGTTACTGCTGCCCAACCCTCCTTCTTCACCAAGCAGCAGTCTTTCCTTGCCAGCTGAGAAGCAGAAGTCACACCTTTTTTTGTCTTTTATGTTATTCTCCTTAAATAATATTCTAATCTCATTATGTTAAAGCACCTTGATGTTTATAACTTTAGGTAAAAATGAGTAAAAATGAGCAAGCATGGGGGAAGTTATGTGCCGTCACTAAGTTATAACAGGATATGTAATTTTTCAAGAAATGAGAAAGAAATGGTTGGAGGATGCATGGTTGATGACTCACACTGGGTTTCTCAGGGTGGCATCTACTTAATAACGGTATAAGCATGGGAACAGGTGTCTTCAGGCACATGTGTGGTTGCTATGGGGCTGACTCAACTCATAGTTTGCTGGTATAGGCTTGAGCATGAGTGCTGAAGTGAAGTATTCATCCATTTACTGAGTTCAGGACTTTCCCTAGTCACGGCAAAAACACCCGGACAGTTGCTCATTCTCTGACTTCTCTTTTTCTGGACTGTGTAGCTCCTTCGGTTGGAACAAAAAGCCAATTCCTAATTATGTTATCCTTGGAATGGACGGCATTGGTTCAATTTAGATTAATATTGATTTCTGTATCTTAATAAAATAAACTTTAAACACTGCTCTGTGTTAGGCTGTGTGTTGGGCATTGACCTCATTTGATTTTCGTGACAGGGCCATCAGTAGCAATCATTACATAAATTTGCCAACTTTTAGATCGAGAGGTTCTCCTAAAGACACACAAGGCAAATTTCCAAACATATGAACAGAATCATGCTTTTCTGAGATTAATCCCAAGGGAACCTGTCAATGTGTCTGCCTCTTTGCATGCATGTTGGCTGTGACTTTGCCACGTTCTAACCAAGCTGAATTTTGCTGAGTGCCTTGATGAATATTTCCTCTCATTGCTCTGTGTCCTTGTATGCGCCTTTGTTTCTGCCCCATCCTTTCTTTAGGCTTTGTACAAAATGGACATCATATGACTTCCTCCTGGAAACCTCTGGCTCCACATTTTGGTTTGTGAAGTAACTGTTTCTCTGAACTCTATGGAAACAGGAACCATTTAGCAATTTGCTCCTTAACTTAGTAGAGTGCCTAGAACACAGCATGGCTCAATAAATAATTGCTAAATAGACAAACAAATGGCCTCAGAGAACTTTCTGTTGATCCACTTCCATGTTAAAAATCAAAAATGTCTGCGAAATGTATGACCGCATCTTCCTTGCATTGCTTGGAATTCAAGTCATTCTCTCCTCAGCAGGAAAGGATGGTTTTGCCTGAGAATTACTCGTTTCTCCTTCTTCATCATTCCCCAACTTTCTGATTTCAAGGCTGTAATTTCAGACACCCTCTGTGTGGAGGTGTACCTGCCTCCCCACAGTATTTAGTAGGAGGCAATACCAAAAATAATGTACTGAGAATCAAATCTATGCTCTATGCAGGTTGTACGAGATGGGGTTTTCTCTAAATCAGAAAAGTTAACTGTGCCTTGGTTTCCTCAGCTCTCTCAGGGTTAAGGAACATGTATGCTGTCCCTCTCTCCAAGGGGTTGCTATTCATAGCAAATGAAATAAAAAATAAATAAACAAACAGCAATAGCTTTGTAACTGTGGCACATCCGTGCATGCACACACATAATCTGAGACAGATGAAAGCCTGGGATGAAACCAAACACAGTCACCTGAGCTCCACATCTAAACTGGTGCCTTCTAATTACCTCTGCCAGACTTCTCAGACTCAAGTCCAAAACTTAACTCATCTTTTTTCTGTTGCCTGTGACTCCTAAACAAGTAGTGACATGGAGGCTTAACACAGCAACCATTCTTTATTTTCCCTATGAACCTGGGGGTGGATGGCACTCAGCGCTTTGTGCTGCTATTTAAGTCTTCATGTATTTAAGAGGCAGAGAGAGAAAGACAACCGTAGAGTTCCTACCCACTTGAATAGAAGTTTCTCTTGTTCCCCAATTCTAATTGTAGTGTTTTATGTGCCCTTTGAGGATTCTTCATTTCCTTTTTCTGGTTCTTGGCACCAGGCATTGTGTATTAGTTGTCAATTCCCTGGAATGGATGCATCCTGAGGGGACGCAGAGTCTAGCACCCAGTAAGTGCTGACTATATGGTCATTACATGAATGACTAAATGAATAAAACGGTGTGTGTGCAGAGGAAGGTCGCGAAGGAGGAAAGTGTGACTCACCGAGTAAGCCAAGCTGGAGGCTCAGAACAACCCTGATAAAGTCATTCTTCCACTCCCACAGTGACAGCATCCCCCCCGCCCCCGGCTCTTTTCTTCACCCCATTCATAGCAAAGAACTGGCCTCCTCCTCTGCTGAAGAGGCGGGGACTAGAGACCGTTACTTGCTACACAACACCTCTGTACCAGAAACTTCTCTACCACACTGGCTTCTTCTGCCTCGCTTTCCTCAGAGGATGGGGATCCTTCTGCAATCCCCAGAGCCCAGCTTCCTCTGTCGCCTCCACATCCCTCCAGGCCCTGCCCAATGGGCTTCTTCCTCTGGACCCATCACTGCTAAATTTGCTCTTCCTCCTGAAATAAAACTGACAACAGGACCTCTCCTTACCCTTCAAGCTCCCTTCCCTCTCGCTTTTCATCACACTGAAATGTCTTAAAATGCTAGCTAACTTTCTGCTCTCTCTCTTTCCTGATCCTCATGTTCCATTGCAGTGTTGCCTACTAAACTCATTATACTTCCTACCTCAGAAGATGGCTCCCTATTCACCTTGTAATTCAACACACAATCCGAAATCTTGATACTTGTTTTGAAAATACTTCCAAGTCATTGGGAATTTCTTATTCTGTCTCAAGCAATGTCTGAACCGCTTACCAAATGCCTGTCTTCACCTTCTTCTACTTTTATCTGTTTTCTGCTGTTCCTTCTGAGACACATACATATTCTTAGCTTCTCCCTTCACCAAAGGAGCCACCAGACTTCCCTCCATCTTAAGCATTTTAGTTATTACCTTTTGTTTCTTCTTTCCTAACCAAACTAAGTTTTTTTAGAACCTAAGACTTAATATAATTCAAAAGATCCCCATAAGAAAAAAATAGCTGAACTGTTAATACAACCGAGAATTTTAAAAAATGTAGGCAGAACAAGAAACTCTCAATAACTTGGAAGTTTTAAAAGCTGACCGACATGATGTCAGTCCTGAGAGCTGGCATCATGTTTTCTGCTTGTTACCACCGCATGCTTCTGCAGCACTTTGCTACTCAACAACTCTGTTTCTGATCTGTTTCATGCCCCGCTCGCCCTCTGCAGGTGAGAGCAGGTGAGGCCCAGAGCAAAGCAGGGGTATTCCTAATATTTTCACTTCCCTAAAGCGGCTACAAATAACCTCTCACAGCAACCAATCACCACATAAATACATTCCTCTGGCCCAAATAAAATATCCCCCCGTTGTAATTCCCCTTAGGTACATTCCCAAATACCCACAATTTTGACATCACCCAACATAAGCGGAAATGTGATGGAGTGGAGAGAGGCAGTGGCTGATCGATTGTGTCTAAAATAGTTTTGTCAGCCATATCAGCCCAGGAATACTTGGCAGGGGGCCTACTGGGCTGTGCTTGCCGGAGGAACCCATCACATTCACAGTTGCTCTGCCTCTGACCCAGACCTTGTTAAATAGTAGTTTATCTAAACACTTTCCATTTCCTCACCTTCCAACAATTTTCTTCTAAATAGAATGTAAGTGTACACATAAAACATGAGCCATTTTTCCAGGAAGGCTTTTTCTGATCATCAGTATTATCAATAAAGCTAAAATATTTTACCTTCCCCAATCTCACACCTCTGTGAATGCATCCCTTAGCATTCTTCCTCCTTACTCACTTAGCATCAGCCACTAAGGCATCTTTGCTGTTGTTCAAAAATGAGTTGTTTTTTTTTAAAATATTTATTTATTTTTATTAGAAAGTCAGATATACATAGAAGAGGAGAGACAGAGAGGAAGACCTTCCGTCCAATGATTTACGCCCCAAGCAACCACAACAGCTGGAACTGAGTCAATCTGAAGCCGGGAGCTCTTCCAGGTATCCCATGTGGGTGCAGGGGCCCAAAGTTTTGGTCATCCTCAACTGCTTTCCCAGGCTGCAAGCAGGGAAGTGGGTGGGTAGCGGGGCTGCCAGGATTAAAACTGGCATCCATATGGGATCCCGATGCGTGCACGGTGAGGACTTTAGCCGCTAGGCCACAGCGTCCGCCCTGTTGTGTAAATATGGAAGGCACATTCCTACCACAGGACCTTTGGTCTAGTTCTTCACCCCTGCCTGGGTCACTGTTACCCCACATATCCACTTGGCTTCCTCTCTGCTTCAAGTCTCTGCTGAAGTTTGACCATTTGTCACCACATGTGATGTCTGTCCTGCAGCTCTACCAAAGTTCCCGAGTCCTTTCATCCTACTCCGCATTTTTTTCTTTCTTTACAATAATTATCCTCTCCTTATACACCGTAAGATGCATTTAGCTACTGTTTTGATGGCTTACTCTGTTTTTGCCCCATTCTGATGTCACCTCTGTCAGAGTAGGAAGCATTGCTATTTCATTGATGGGTCATGAGTGCCTGACACGTGGTTCTCGACAAATATTAATTTCTAATCACCTTTGGTCACCTCCGCGGTGGTCTCTTCCAAAAAGGTTTTCCTTATATTTCCTCTACCTTTGCACCCTGTAATGGTGCATTGCCCCTTGCAGTTTGCTCCTGTAATAATTGGCTGTGCTTGTCCTGACTACAACATCCAGCATTAGGATGTTTTGTTTGTGTGTTTGTCATCTCACACTGATGCATTAAATATGCAGTGCTTATTCCAGCACATCTAGAGGCTAACATTGTTTATTGAACTAAATTAAGAAGACAAGAAACACAAACTCAGGAAACAGACATGAGTTGTCACTATTTCACTTGAAAACACACTGATATGACAGTAAGAGAACAAGCTGGAATCAGCGGCAGTGTCATCTCTTTTTACTGCCTGGAGGAAAAACTAGGGGGCTTATAATGTTTACTGCCTCCACACTGTTTCCCAAGGTCCAACTGTTACTGAGATCTGCTCAGGGCACCAAGGCTTCTGATGAATACCGTGCTCTGCTCGCAAGCAGAAACCCCTTGTGTCTGCCCCAACACTGCCCTGCCTAACACGAGTGTCCTTCACGCTTTCATTGGCAGATCTTGACGTCACAGCAGTCTCTGGTAGCAATGTAAGTCTGTGTGTCTCCAATCTGCCCAGTATCTACAAACAACTAACTTGGTTTAACACTACCAAACAGAAGCTCTTAGAGTGGGAGCCTGGCAAAGTTAAGTACTTTGACACTAAATCCAGGAACAGAATCACGTTTGACCCTCAGAGCAGTGCGCTGAACATCTCTGACGTCCGAGAGGAAGACAGCAACACATACCTGGTGAGAATTTTGAAGGAGGGAGGAACCGAGCACGAATGGAGGATCCATCTGAGAGTATTAGGTGAGTGGGGGAGCCCCAAACCAAGTCTCCACTCTAAGGGTCTAGGGTGGATCCGGGGGGGGGGGGGACGGTTTCCTGCCAGTCACAAGCACACCTGTGGGAGGCAAAGGGGAACTCAGTTTACTTCATTTCACTTGGATTCAGTTCTGCTGGGAAGTGAGCCTAGGTCAGTAGATCCCCAAACTGACAGCTTTCCACATTTAATACCTCATTTAAAGCTGCTGAGTTTAAGATCGGAAGAGAAGGAAAACAAGACAGATCATATCCTCTGGGTATCCCTTGTTCCGTCCTGTGATGAACCCAAATTTGTTCTTAGATCATCTTAATTACCTCAAAACTTAAGGACAAAGAAGAAGTGAAGAAAGATGCAGGAGCTATCAAGGCTTTTACCTTTGAGGATGGGTGCGACCAAAGCTCCTGTCCACAGCCTCAGTCTATCAGTGCGTATATAAGGACTAGGTCATTTCACCTGAAGTCGGACAGACCTGGGTCCAAAACTGGTCACTCTCTGACTCTGGGAAAAAGATCTTAATACTGATATTAGGTAAACTTCTTTTGATGGTAAGTCACAGAAGCCAGTTGAATGTACTTTTACAGTCTCCACCAAGAATTTATCTTAAGAAATCAGGAAATCTTGAAGTAATTTGAGGGACAGAGAAGAGTCAGGATGGGTTAAGAGGAGGTAGGTGGAGAACCCGGGTCAGTCCAGAATCCCTTGGCTCAAGAACCTCTGGACTGTGCCTATGGGTGTTTGCCATTTACTTTTTTTCCTCTCAACATTTGTGCCTCTGAGTTTCAAATCTCAGGAAAACATGAAGATAGTGAAACTTCCTGGTTAACTTTACCTTGATTGGCATGTGTGCCAGACCTAAACATTTATGGTGAACAGGATCAAATTACAAAGCAGAAAACAGGGATCCTGGGAAGACTCCACTGGGATAAGGGCAGACAGGCCTTGCAGAAGAGGGGCTAGCCTGAAACCCAAGGGAGATGTTATTCTCAGAGCTTTGGGTTCTGAATTATGTCAGGAGGACAATTATACCCACCCAATATAGGGAGGATATGAACATGAGATTATTTTTTAAGTGCTAACATAGTACCAAAGGAGAATGTTGTAGTATTTGGGCCCTACCAGCCAAATGATTCCTGGTCTTAAGAGGAAAGGATACCCTTTCCCCTTCCTTCTTGTATGTCATACAGCCTGGAAATGGAGAGGTCCTGGACATAAGGGAGTCAAGCTCTCTTATAGTGGTATTCTTGTAAACCAATTCTCTAAATGGGAAAAGAACCTAAGTCAGTTTTAAAATCCCCCCTTTTGGGTCATTTACCAACTTCCATAATTTCTGAGATAAAATACTTTCACTACAGCTGATTGTGAGGTGTAAATTAATTTGCATGATGACCTTACGAAATGACTTGCAAACCCACGGGCTGGCTTGGCTTCAGCACATCCTGCCTGTGAATGACATCTCCAGGATGCGGTGAGCAAAAGACCACCACAAATGCCCATGCATTTGTGATAGCTCAGAGGGGACACTGGGGGCAGACCATCCCAGCTCGCCCAACAAATCCCATTGCTAAAGTGCCCAGGGCTGAGCTGATCACTGCAGCAAGTGTAGCAGTACAGGCTATAGGATTAGAATATGGAAAATGGTGAAACCCAGTATACCAGCTGCCTAATTAAGGCAGTATTATGAGAAGCCCGCAGGGAGGAGATGGCTTAGTTGGTGAACTTCTGTAGCCCCTCCACACACACAACCCTGGGGAAGGCTGTTATCTGACAAACCGCCTACTGTGTTTTAATCCTATGGGATCTGAGCTGCACTGACTCTACAGGTGGTCTTTCTCTTGTCCAGAATGGAAATATTCCAGAGGATTTCAGATAGCCCAGCCCTCGCCACGAAAGGGCCATATGCTGAGCTTACCAATTTACTTACTTTTATTTTTATTGGAAAGGCAGATTTACAAAGAGAAAGATCTTTCATTCATGAGTTCACTCCCCAAATGACTACAATGACCGGAACTAAGCCAATCCAAAGCCAGGAGCCAGGAGCTTCTTCCGAGTGTCCCACGTGGTTACAGGCTTTGAGGGCTTTTGTTTGACCTCCACTGCTTTCCCAGGCCTCAAAGAGGAAGCTGGGTGTGAAGTGGAACAGCCAGGGTATGAACGAGAGCCCATATGGGATCCTGGTGCATGTGAGGCGAGAATTCAGCCACTGAGCCATTGCTCCAGGCTTATCTCTTGTCCCATCTGTCAGCATGACAAAAAGGAGTGATGGTTGTGATCTGTCGTGTCTATGCAGCGCGTACACTCCTAAAAACTGCTTTTCTGGCTGATGCCATGTTATCCTAGTAACACTGTGCCACGTGGTGGTCATTTTACAAACGAGTTTGGAGAGTGGGCTACCATTCCTCATGTCATCCCACCAGTGTCAAGTGCAGGACCCAAGGCTGGTCTTTTTCAAAGCTCTCGTCTTGTCCCTTCTGTCTCAGAACTGCTTCATTCCCCCATCAATTGTGCTGGACAGCAAAGCCAGCAGACCTGCTCTGTTTAACACTCCTGGCACGTGCTGAGCACGACAGGGAGTTCTCTGCAGCTCTGCTGTAGTCCAGGGGGATGGCAGTACTTCCGGGTGGTTGTGCATACAGCTTTGAGGTGTGCAAGACGATATCGCTCACCTTAGGATTCTTCTGGATCCTGAGCTCCAGAACTCTTGAACAGGTTGGACAATGGTTCAGCTGTGGCTCATTGTTAGAGAAAGGCCATGAGCATCTCAGATACGGTTGGGCTACCACGTCTGACACCAGCTCACAGGTGTTCACCCTCCCTTTGAGCAAGTAATGCCCTGAGTGCAAGGAATGAACTTTGGCGCCCTCTCCTGGATGAAGCTTGGTATGGCCTTTAAGGAGTGGCTCGCATCCAGGAGTTGCCCAGATCAAAGTTCCTCACTGGCTCCCTCTGCAGAGGCTTCCGCACCATGACTCTATCTCCTGCAGCACTCGGGGGATTCTCCTTGGTTCCTTTTCGTGGTTTTTTTGTTTGTTTAAATCTATGCCAACATTTATGCTTCATCAGTGCATGTCTCCACTGCTTTGTTTGATTAATTCATCTTCTGTTTTCAGATCCTGTACCCAATCCTTGCATAAACATCGAAAAGAAAAAGGAAATGGACAATTGTTATCTGACCTTGACATGTATGGCAGAAAGCCAGTCTGCCGTCAAGTACACGTGGTATGATGACTCTAGACTCTTAAGCCAGGAACTCGAGGGGAATGTCCTTAACATAACCGTTAACTCACAGAACTACTCCAACTCCTACACCTGCCAGGTCAAGAATCCTGTGAGCGCGAAGAATAGTACAGTCCACTTCAGCAAACTCTGTGAGCAGGGTAAGCAAATAGCCTCCAGGGAAAAGAGGAAGTCACGGGATAACGAGTTCACTTTTGAAGCAAGAAGGGTGTGGGGTCCTGCTCAACTTCCCGGCGTGGAATGTGGTGGTGAATCTCAGAGGGTCCGTGAGACCTAGGAGACTTAGAAGCCATTCCCAGCCCTGCACAGCCTCTCAGCCAGCTCACCCCATCCTTGTGGAGCTCAGCACCCTCTTTTGCAGAGGGTATTTGTCACAGAATCTACGACCCTAACTGTCCAGTTCGCAATGCACAGTCGTAGAATCTGAGGCTACAATTGTTGTAGGACAGTCAGAGACAACAGACTGTGCAGAGGGAAAAGGGTGAAGCACAGGAGTAGTCCACATGTTGTTGGAAAGGCTCTAAGGCTTCTGGTCGGAACCAGCCGAGGGCACAGAAAGCAAAGAGGTGAGTGTGTGAGAGCCTTGTCCTCGGATAAAGACAGCTCTTCCATAGCATTGTACACCTTGATAAGTCAGTACCACAAACTCTGGGCTTCAGCTCTGAGATTCCTCTCCACCTCCCAGGATGATCCATCCGCTGGAGCTTTCCCGCACGCTCTAGAGCCGACCGACACACACGCTATAGTTAGATAGCCACACGTTCTTGAGCCAGTCACACCTGAAGTCAAGGCCGGCCTTGTTGCTTATCCATTCAACATATTTCTTCTCTAACTCACATCTTTAAAGGTCACACAGAAAACAATATCTACAATGAGACGACGCGTGTAAATTTCCTCACACAGTCCGTGACACATTCTCAACGAACAACAGCTATATGAGGCTCAGTCCCTTCAACTTCGGGAATGCTAGGGTTTGTCAGATCCCATGATAAATGTGGATCTACCTCCAGCACTCCAGAGCTCATGCTCTCTTCATACGCCTGAAGCAACATCCCTGAGCCCTGGTGCACATGTTCTCCCAGGAAAGCTTGTGCTCCCAGTCATGCCTGGGCATCCGGGCCCTGGTCCCTAACAGCATTCCTTTCATGATCTTCCTGGGATCCCTGGACCCCTTTCTGCTGTGATGACTCCCTCACCCTGCTCCCACAGGGGGTGAACGGAAACTTGGTGCTCCTCTTTCTCTCTCACAGCTAGTCTATTTGGTCTCTTCTTGCTTATCATGATGTGCTCCACTCTTCTGCTGCCGCAGATCCAATGCCGCAGCATGTCTGACCATAAAGTCAAAGTTTGGCAGTGAGGTTCCAGCATCACTTTCACATTATCTCTACATTCTGAGGTCCAGAAACAACAAGAGGCATGATCCCTGTCCTCGTGAAATGGAGTAGCTAATCACCTGAAGAGAGAATTAAAACCATAGTACATTCACCTTTTAAAAAAAAATTATTTTATTTTTATTGGAAAGACAAACTGACAGAGAAACAGAAAGATCTTCTGCCCACTGGTTCACTCCCCAAACTTCCGCAACAGCCAGAGCTGAGCCAATCTGAAGTTAGAAGCCAGGAGCTTTGTCCCGGTCTCCCACACAGGTGCAGGGTCCCAAGGTTTGGGCTGTCCCCGACTGCTTTTCCAGGCCACAGAGAGCTGGGCTGGAAGTGGATCAACCAAAACCCAAACCAGCACCAATGTGGGATCTAGGTGCTTGCAAAGAGAGGAGTTAGCCAATTGAGCCACTGCACTGGGCCCTCATTCATGTTTTGAAAGATTAAACTCAGTTTATCGTTCTGTAGCAACCCAAGTTGTCCCACAAATTGACTCCATCCTCCTCCTCTGTTTTATCACCAATTCCCTTTCCTTTCTCTTCAACCTCTCTTCCCTTACTTTCTCTTTTCTTTGCATTTGATATCTTCTCCTCCACTCTTGCCTTCTTAGGTTCCCAAGTGGCTCCTTTTCTTTCTTTCCTCTCCTTTTTTCTTCCCCTTCACTTTCCCTCTTCCAGCTGACACAGTTTGTGAATAGAGAAACAAGAAAGGGAATTGATCCTTTCTTCTCTAAAACAAGCAGTGTTTGATGGATATAATGTACAGAACTGTACAGTCTTCTGTCTTCATCTAACATGCTGTTTTTTTAAAAATTGATTGATTGATTGATTGATTGATTGACTGATTTTATTGGAAAGGCAGATATACAGAGAGGAGGGGAGACAGAGAGGAAGATCTTCCGTCCAATGATTGGCTGAAGTTGAGCCAATCCAAAGCCAGAAGCCAGGAGCCTCTTCCGGGTCTCCCATATGGGTGCAGGGTTCCAAAGCCTCGGGCCATCCTCGACTGCTTTCCCAGGCCACAAGCAGGGAGTTGGATGGGAAGCAGGGCTGCTTAGATTAGAACCGGTGCCCATATGGGATCCTGGCACGTGAAGACTTTAACCACTATGCTATTGTGCCGGGCCCTAACATGCTGTCTTGCTTCATTGTTTCCCAGTGTAGGGGAGTGATTTTTTTTCTCAGATTCACAAGTTTGCCAAGGTAACCATCAAATACAGGAACTAGCAAAGCCATGGATATTGCAGGGAGTTTCGCACTGATCTCTAAAGAGCAAGAAACGTGCCAGGCATGCTGGGATTGGCTTCAGGGAAGGGACACATTTCCGGGCTCCAAAGGTTCCCACACCAAAGTCCAGTATCCCTCACCCTTCCCATCACGCTAAGACACCTAAACGCAGGGGACTTTCCTTGTTTTTTCAGCTCCATCGCTTGCAGTGGCATGGATAGCAAGTTGGCTGGTAGTCCTGGCACCCAGTCTTAATGTCCTCCTACTTACCTGAGACGAATTCTTCCAACACCCAGGCCTCGGGTTCTTCGTCATTGCTCATGCTGTTGACCAGGACAGAAGCTCTAGCTTTGTGGAAGAAGAAACAAAAAATGTTGTTAAAGCATCTAGAGTTTCAAAATCTTTTTTTTTTTTTTAAAAAAGCTGTGGTTAATACTTAATTTGAGATCATCTAGCTGCTTACCAACACACACACATATGCTTTCATCCCAGCAAAAGCATTACATTATGCAAATGTGTTCTTATTTTTTTAAATAAACATTTGATAGGATTGTCAAAGTGGATTCTTGAAGTCACCCAGAATCTTTCAGGCAGCACTGGCTCCATCAGTCTGGACCAGTGGCATATGGGTGCCACAAAGGGAAGAGCCTCAGATGACAGGCTTCTGAGTGTCAGCCTGGCTGAGGAGTTAACTCCTATTACCTCTGATCCTTCTTGTGGGGTCCATGCGAAGCCCCTGGAGAGCCAGCTCACCCGACACCTGCCCTGCTCCCTGGCCCCCTGCCCTGTGATCTGGTTTGCTTTGCTCCGTTCCCTCTGCGGAACAGCACCCTGGGTCTATGGGCATGTTCCTGTTCCCCCAGAATAAAGTCTGTACCTCCACCCCATAAGAACAGTTGTTTCCACATCATTCACTGGGTCCTGAATTCTCCCTCCTCTTTGCACTTTTGTCACTGTGTGGGTGATTCTTCTAGTCCTGGTTGTGACATGAAATCCAAAGGAGTCGTCCAATCAGCACATATGTTCTTACCAGGGTCTTTCAGGAATTCACAGGTCCACCAATGCCGTAGCATCCGGGGTTTGCCTCAGACGACAAACCTTCAAGTCTCCCCAAGGGGTCACTGAAGAATTTGCTTCATCTCCAGTGAATTTTTCCACAGAGCACTTTCTATTTAGAGCAGATCACCTTCCCTCACCTTCCCTTTTAGCCCTGCCCTCCCCGTCCCATCCCATTTCCTCAATGGCAATGATGATGCTGTGTGTTCACCAAACTCTTTTACATCCTTTTGGGTCACTAGGAAAACTCTTTTCCCTCAGATCCCTTGCATCCAGCTGGAGCTGTGTGACTGGTTCTGGCTGATAGAAACTGGGGAGTGTTGAGGTGCAGGGGAATGAGGAAATGTGTATGAAGGGAAGCCACAGTGCAAGCGCTTGGTCCCCAGCCGTCATGCGGAAAGCAGCTTCCCAGTCTGTGTTGCACGCACATGATAAGACAGTGTGGGTTTCTTCTGTTGCTGCAATGTCACTGCAAGACAGCCTAGAGCCCTTCAGATAGCCTCGGCCCAGCCTGAGGCCCCACCCCAAGAGCATCTCTTAGAAGTTGCACCTTCCGACTCGAGCACCCTGGATCCTTTCTGTTAAATGTCTTCTCTTCTCTTCTCTTCTTTTCTCTTCTCTTCTCTTCTCTTTTTGCAGCCTTTATTTATTTTCTTTAATTTATTGAAGTAGAAACTCCTTGCTTTAATAACATTCTAAATAAAAATTATATATATATGTGTGTGTGTGTATGAAGCATTTAACAGAAGCAGCACTCTACTCTTCTTTCCTTTGCTTTTTGAGAAGGAAATTGAGGTTTTCCTGGGGAAATGGTGCCTGCGTGTACATACACACAGAGAAATACACAACTGGAACAAAAGTGAGCTTCTGGGGAACCAGTAAGCAGGAAAGAAAAGGCCACTTTATATGACAAAGAAACACGGTCTTCAGCTGCTATGGCGGAGCACTTCTCTGGGGGTCTCTAGATAAACCCCACCTTACAAGGCCCAGGTCACAGACGCTGACCCTCTTCTTTCTCTCTCATCCCTCAAGATGAGACCAGTTGCACAACTGCAGGGCTCAACGAAAAGTGAAAATGTGGGCCCCTTGATCTAAAAATAGGAAAATCTATAATTAAAAACATTAAAATGGAGGGGCCAATGCTTTGGCATAGCAGGCTGTCTTCCGCCTGTGGTGTAGGCCCGCAGATGCGACTCAATTAGTACCCCAGCCACTCTGTTTATTCTTTTTGTTTTTTTGTTTTTTGTTTTTTTTTTTTTTACACATTTTACTTATTTTTATTTGAAAAAGCAGAGTTGGGGGCCCTGCGCGGTGGCGCAAGTGGTTAAAGGTCCTCGCCTTGCACGCCCGGGATCCCATATGGGCGCCGGTTCTAATCCCGGCAGCCCCACTTCCCTTCCAGCTCCCTGCCTGTGGCCTGGGAAAGCAGTCGAGGACGGCCCAAAGCTTTGGGAACATGCACCCGTGTGGGAGACCCGGAAGAGGCTCCTGGCTTCGGATCGGCATAGCATCAGCCGTTGCGCTCACTTGGGGAGTGAATCATCGGACGGAAGATCTTCCTCTCTGTCTCTCCTCTCTGTATATCCGCCTTTCCAATGAAAAAAATAATAAAAATAAATCTTTAAAAAAAGAAAAGAAAAAGCAGAGTTACAGGGAGAGAGAGAGAGAGACAGAAAAGTCTTCCAACTGCTGGTTCACTCCACAAATGCCCGTGACGGCCAGAGCTAGGCTTATCTGAAGCCAGGATCCACGGGTTCCTTCCAGGTGTCCCCCATGCGCATAGGGAGACCAGGACTTGGGCTGCCTTCCCAGGCCACAAACAGCAAGCTGGGCTGGACGTGGAGCAGCCAGGACTGAAACTAGTGCCCACACGGGATGTTGGGGCTGCAGAGAAAGGCTTAGCATACCTTGCCACCACGCCGATCCCAACATATATATTGTTCTTGTCAGAACATGCAAAGCTGGCAAAAACCAATTTGTTAGTTTTAAAGACTTATTTTGCTTCTTGATATACACATATTCTTCCAATATCCTATGAAGACAGACGACTCACACAATACGATGACTTTGCAATTACTTCTGCCATAATATGGACCCGTTGAGATTCGTGAAGCATCCTGAATGCTCTGTGAGTGAGCAAACCAGGGCCAGTCATGTCCATATGGATTTTGTGTATGTCCTTGTGCCTGCTGTACAGTAGACTTCCTTCTAAACGCACAAGTTGATAGATAAGCTTATTAGTGATGTCCACATGGTAGCAGCAGAGCATGACTGGGGACCCTGCCTGCTAAGCACGGGAATCTGGAAAAACTTCACAGCTTGTGGGTCCGTGAAGCTGGATTTGCAAAGACACTTATATTAAGACAACTCTTTCCTGGAAGTTACAGTGCGAGGACAAAGCCTAATTATTATGCATTCCCAGCCTTCACATGTTCCTATACAATAAAATTTGGTGGCTTACTGAGTTCTCCTGTCAGAAAATTAAGGCATTCTTGGCATTCGCTCATGGCTTCACCGTGAGCTAATATGCTCCTGGGGAATGTTGCCCTCAGCCAGCTCTGGAACTCTCTGAACACTGCCCTCTGCTGGCTTCCTTGAGCAAGTTCATGCAACATGTAAAGCCATGCATCATATCAGTAATTCTTCAACTTTTGCTTAGTAGCAGCAAGTCACTTAGGAATCTGGTTAAAACCAGGCTCTGAATCAGGAAGAACAGGATTGAGACAAGATCTTGCTTTTCTAATGAGATCCCAGGTGATGTCATCACCGTCTGCTGTTTATGGATCACTTTTATTTTTTAAAAATATATAGATTGTTTTTATTTTCATTCATTCAAAAAATTTGTTTTTCTTTTTACTTCCCTCCCTGGCTCATAGGTCACACAATAGCATCATTTGCTTTGGGAAGGTCTTTGGTTTTCTTTTTCATTTCTTCAGTGACACATTGGTCATTCAGTGGCATGTTATTTAACTTCATGTTGTTGAAAATTTTCTATTTTTCTCTCTGTTGTTGATTTTGTTTTATGGATTTTCATTCAAGGGGGATGCATAGTAACTGTGCAGTACAGACTATCATATACAAATGTGAAGATACAACGCATTGTGCATCTCTTCTTCCAAATCAAATATGAAGTCCCAATGAAACTGTTGAATCTTGACAATAGGATGCTGGACTGCCTGCCATTGTCTATGCCTACAATGTCGGGATACACTTAAATAGAATGATGGACTTATGACTGATTGTGCAGGACTCTATTATTGAAATGACATGGCGGAAATTAGTGTGGGTATGGGTGTGCACGCTTGTGTGTGTGGCAGGGATTTGGGGAGGAATTGTATTGTATCATGGAATTGTATCATGGAATAATGAAATAAATGAATCCATGTAAAATTATGTGTGTGTATTTATTTGACAGAGCAGCACCTACACACACACACACACACACACACACACACACACACACAGGGAGGGGGAGGGAAAAAGAGAATCTTCCATCCTCTGGTTTACCCACTCAGTGACCATGGGAGTGAAGTCTGGGCCAGACCAAACTAGGAGTCCAGAGCTCCGTCGAGTTCTCCCACATGGATTACCAGGGCCAAAGCACTCGTACCGTCTTAGGCTGACTTCCCAGGTGCTGTAGCAGGGAGCTCGATAGGAAGCAGAAGAGCTGGGACTTGAGCCAGCAAGTAGGATGCCTGCATTACAAGCAGTGGCTTTACCTGTTGGGGACACTAACCATTTCCTGCCCTGTGATTGGCCCTTTGCCCTGATTGGTGTGCCTTGGTTATCTTTAAATTGATTGGTCAGGTTTGACAGATAAGCGGGGAGCTTGGTGGGGGAGGGGCTGGAGCGTAACGGTTGTATCTGTCATAACGGTCACAACGGAGTTAACGGTCACAGCGGAAGATCGGAATAAAAGCGCCTTGGAGACTCTCTCAAGTGTCGGGTGATTTCTTCCGCGGGACGGGAAGACCCCCGATATTTACCCAGTACACCCTAAGGTTGACACCCCCTATGCATCACTTCATGAACAGCAAAACAGAAGTCTCTAAGCTTCTCTGCTCTTCTAACTTTAGTGTCACGGGTCTGGGCCTCTATGTAGAGCTTGATTCTCCCCTTCACTTCCTGCCCTTCTCTGTTCCTGGCTACTGTATTGCTTTACTTCTCAAGTTCAAATTCCCAGGAGTGCCTCTCAGGCCTTGGGGTTCCCGTGTGCAGTGGTTACGTTCCCAGGAAGCAGCTTGTCTGAACAAGCAACACCAGATTACACTGGAAGGTTTGCAGGGCCAAGAGATCCTATAAACAAATGCTGCTTCCATTCCTGGCTTTGCACAAGAACACGGCTCGAACTG